CACGTTTTTTTTGCTTGCTCACATACCCTCTGAGGAGATGCACTCTCGCGCGTGCTATCACCTCATTCCATGTGGAAAAAACTAATTTTTCCGAGGGCGGATGAATCGGCGGTGGCGGGGCTTCTACCAAGAGCCGTCTGTCTCAAGTCCTCAAGTCAAGTCTCAAATACCCATCCTCATCATAGGTCCGCCCGGTGTCGCTTCTCGCGTGACGTCACGTGCATGCCGGTGCATCCATCCAAAGCAAACCCACAACCGCCGAGTGCCGGGGGACGGAAGGAAGGAACCGATATTCTGGTGTCAAAGTAAAATCTTGCAATGCGGGCCTACAGCAGTGGTTTCTCTACCAGGCGAAGGCACATAATGTTGGCGGGTTTGTACAAGTACACCCACTCCACGACGATGTGATAAGTGTTTACTACTTCTGCGACCAATTCTCGTCTGCTTCCTCGCTTGCTGTACCCACCCCATCACCGGTCTCTGCAGATCGCGTCTGTTTTGCTAAGGGCGATGGAAGAAGACTATCGAGCATGCGTTGAAAGCGAGGTGAGGTGAGGGACTTGCTATCCCGAAGAACCGAGGATGATTGCGCCTACAACCAGTTCAACTTTCGATTACGGATTCCGGGATGATGTCGAATTTGCACTCTCGTCAAGAAGGTGCCTTTTTTCTGCAGTCTTGCCTTTGTCACCATGTATAGCGCTAGAATACAACGCGCTGCGTTCCTTCGGGGCTTGACTGTTTGCTCCCATCCTCCGCCCATGCTTCCCAAACCAATGAAATTTTCTCGTTCGTTCGTAATCAACCGCGCTACGCATCGCCTGCTCGCTTGTCACAGGGGCACGTAGTGAGCAATGGCCCGATCGCCCGTACCACCGCTGCGACAGAAACGAGGGAATCCCCAAGCGAAGAGCCTGCACAGCAGCTGGAGGGTAATGGAACTTTGACACCGGATCAAGGACAGGGATTAGCGTCGGGTAACAGGGACGGAGGCGAAACCGACGCTGTGGTGGAAGCACCTCCACCAGCACCAGCACCAACGAGACCTGTCTCACCTCTCGGCCAAGGTGAGCCAATGAATAACATACCTTTTCGATCTCAGATTTTCTCTTGGTACAAGTACAGGCGAGGGGGGAGGAATGCTGCCGCTTGCGTAGGTGGTGTTGTCACCAACCTCATCGCTTATCACCAACCTCACGCTCGTCGTAGTGAACGTGGCCTGCTGCTGCTGTGCGACATGTGGTTGATCGTTGCCAACCACGGTGGAGCGCCGACCAACTTCTCATACCACGCTTGTGGGACACACGAATGCTCTGTACGTACAATATGTCACGCCCAGAATGCTGTGGTGATATCCATACCTGTTTGATCCGTCACTTAGGGGTCACTTGATCCAGTCCCAGACCTGTTGTTTCTTCGGCGTTGTTCAACGAAAAAAGTAGGGAGAATGCATCACCGCGCTGCCCCAGCCATAAAGGGAGCGCAGTTATCGCTACATGGTCACCTCGCAAGTTTGCTGAGACTGGCATGCCGTGATACGTGAATTTTCCCACACCCATGCATCCCTTCGTGTCTTGCCCTCTTGTGTCTGTGTGCGGGACTGTGGGACTGTGGTTTCGTGCCTTGGCGTGTGGCGTCCAGATCGAGCAGAGCGAGTGATCCGAGCGATGCAAGGCTTCACCCTCGCTGCCCCTTCTCTTCCTCGTAAGTTATTTTCTTGATGGGAGTCTTGTAGAAAATCGAAGTGTTCGACAATAACCTACCGTAAGAAGGCCGACGTGTGACTCCTTTGTTGTGGTCGATAAAGAAAGGTCTTGTGCTTTAGCGAGATACTTGGTGCCCTGGTGCCCGCTCCTCTCATGTTGCTCTGTTGCGCTGCCTGTTTCTCTAGTGCGATCCCCAGTTCAGCGGTGCGTTGCAACGCTGCTGTGTAGCTTCCTTCCTCGATATTCCTTTTGGCCCCTGTGCTAGAGAGGTGGTGGACAACCGTTGTCGGCGTCAATCTCCCTTTCTAATTGCCTACATTCCCCCGCTGTCGCAATCAACAGTACCTTTTGCGTTTGGCGGGCGTGAAGCTGCTCCATTCGAGGCGGACTGGGGACATCCTAGCGCGCTCGCTAACCTTGCAGCAGCCAACACAACAAGCGCGGAAGCGGGGGAGGAAGGGGGCGGGGCGATCGAACCGGCCACGGCTCCTGCAAACGAAGACCACCGATAGGATTAGGATTTGCGTCGAGTAAGGCTGCCCTTGCGTGTCAAGTGCCAAGATCGTGGAGGGGGAAGAGCAGTCACGAGCACGATGAGCCCCGCCACTTGTGTTGCCTTG